TGATTTTGAGAGAGAAAGAGAGACAGCATGAGCAGGGTAGCGACAGAGAGAGAGGGAGAGAGAGAGAATCCCAAGCAGGCTCTGCGTTGTCAGTGTAGAACCCCATGTAGGGCCTGGACCCACAAACCGTGAGATCATGACCCTAGCAGAAATCAAAAGTCAGACACTTGGGGCACATGAGTGGCTCAGTTGGTTAAGCATCCCACTTTGGTTCAGGTCACGTTCACAAGGTTCATGAGTTCAAACCCCACGTCATCGGGCTCTGTGCTGACAGCTCAGAGCCTGGAGCCTGCTTTGAATTCTGTCTCCCTCTCTCTCTGCCCCTCTTCTGCTCACGGTCTGTCTCTCTCTCAAAAATAATAAAAATAAAATAATAAAAAAGAGATGCCAAGCAGGTGCCCCAATTATATTTTTAAAGTAAAAGTTGTGTATGCATTTTGCTCATTTTCTTTTGATTTTTATTATTAGATTTAAGGTGTTTTCACAAGATGTGTGAAAACAAGTAGTTCTATGTTAGTTTTGCTATTACTTGTCTTCAAATAGTTGACTCTCTGGGCACCTGGGTGGCTCAGTTGGTTAAGTGTCCGACTTCAGCTCAGGTCATGATCTCTCAGTCTATGAGTTCGAGCCCCATGTCAGGCTCTGTGCTGACAGCTCAGAGTCTGGAGCCTGCTTCGGATCCTATGTCTCCCTCTCTCTCTGCCCTACTTCTGCTCATGCTTTGTCTCTTCATCTTTCAAAACTGAATAAGTGCTAAAAAAAAAAAATTATAAATAAATAAACAGTTAACTCTACAATATGCTAAAATATTTCCCTATGTTGTCTTCAAAACGATTTGTAGCTTTAGGTTTTACATTTAGGTTTGTAATCCATTTCAAGTTAAATTTTTTTTTTGTACTGGGAGGTAGAGATCAAAGTTCATTCATCAGAGTTCATATCACATAGATATCCAGTTGTTCTAGCACCATATCTTGATAACTCTATCATTTCCCGTTGAATCACCTATCACCTTTGCTCCGAACTGCAGACTTCTTTATCCGACAGCTTACTTGACATCTCCATGTGGATGTCTAAAACACACTTTAAAACTAAAGGCCCAAACTAAGCTCCTTAACATCGTTCCAATCTTTACTGCTCAGTCTTTCCCATTTCAGGAAACAGTAAAGCCTGTAGCTCAGGACAAAAGCTTGGAGCCGTCCTTCATACCTTTTTCTCTCTCAGGGTAATTAACCTTGCTAATATTTTCAAAATATTTCACTATTTATCATCATCTCCATTGCCAGGCTGTCTGATCCAAACCACCATTATCTTTTATCTGGATTATTTCATTAGCCTCCTAACAGTGTCTTTGCTTTTGGCCTTTGTCCCCTTACAGTCTCTTCACAATACAGCAACCAGTGAATCCTTATAAAAAGTCAGATGTTGTCATTTTGTCTCTTCAGATCTCTGCAGTGGCACTCCATATAACTCATAGTAAAAGACAAGAATTTATAATAGTGTAGAAGATCCTACATGACCTTATTACTTTTCTGACCTCATCCCCATGAAATCATTCCTTTGCTCATTCTGTTTTAACTACTTGGCCTGTCTGCAGTTCCTTGAGCATACTAGGCATGCTCCCACCTCAGTGCCTTTATACTTTATATTCTCTCTGGAATACTCCACCAAGATTCTTGAGAGCTTGCTTCATCTCCTTAAAATCCTTTAAAATACTAACTTCTTAGTAAGTCTTTCCCTTACTACTCTATTAAAAATGGCACTCCACACCCCACTGTGGTCTACTTAATGTCTCTTCCCTGCTGTGCTCTTCTCCATCACATTTTTCTCATACTTGCGTGATACCCTCATGGTTTCGTGACACTTGACTATTAGGTCTTCTAAGGCAGTGACTTATGTTTCTTATTTTCTGCTGTATCCCCAGTGTCCAAAACAATGTCTAAAACATTAGTAAACACTCAGTAATTATTTTCTAGATGAAATGATGAAAATTCTTTTTTTTTTTTTTTTTTTTTTTTTTACAAAATGGTAATTAGTTTATCTCAGTGTAAGATATTTGCACAACCATCATTCTGGTCATAGGAATAGACATTTGTTTCCCTATGTAAAAATATAAAGACACTTTGAAATCTAAGTCTAAATTAGAAATCTAAGTCTAAATTTGAGTTTGTATCTGGGTATGAACCATTAAGTAAGATTTTAAACGTAATCTGAGAGCTACTTTGATTATACCTCTGTAATCTGGAATATTTTATACATCTTGGCTTGGTTATAGTGAGACATTTTGGATGACCTTAACAGCCTGAATCAAAAGCAAGTAGTTGTATAAATCATAGGTATTGCTTTTCATAGGGGTATATTGCACAACTTGAGAACAAAACATTCTTAGATCCTTTAAAATATTTTTAATGATAAAGTAAGTGTAGAATAAATGGTTTGTACACAAGCAAATACAAATTACCTGGCATTAGGTGTATTTCAACTGAAATGACCTAAACCGAATACTTTGGGTTGCTTATGAAAACAGTAACAACAAACATTTGAAAAATAGAATACAAAAACTATTTATAATAGCATCAAAATATCATATATCTAGAAATAAATTCAAAGGGAAGATGTATAAGGTTTCTATACCGGATTGTAAAACATTACTAAGAAAAAGAAGCCCTAAATAAGTGGAAAGAGACACTATGTTCATGGATGGGAAGAATCAGTATTGTTAAGATGTAAAATCTCTCCAGATTGATTTATAAATTCAATCCCAAGCTCCTGGCACTTAATGCATATGTATGCATAAATGGATAAGTTGATTCTAAAATCTATGCGGAAGTGGATCTAGAATAGCCAAAATATTTGTGAGTGAGGGGGAGAAAAAACAGAGTTGGAAGACTTCTATGACTAGATTTCAAGACTTGCCGTAATTAAGTCAGTATGGCATTGGCCCAAGGATACTCAAATATATCAATGGAACACATTAAAAATTTTGAAATAGGCCCCTACATATATGGTCACCTGACATATGACAAAGGCACACTAGTAGTTTCGGGGGATGGGGGCACCTTTTGGTTTTCCAGTAAGTAGTGCTGGAATACTTACTTGGATATCCCTATGGAAAAAGGAATGAACCTTGACTCCTCTCTCACTTTGTACACAGAAATAAATTGAAGTGGATCATGCACCAAAATGTGAAAGATGAAACAATAAAGCTTCTTAATGAAAACATAAAAGAAGGTCTTCATGATGTTACAGTAGGCAAAGATTTTTAAAAGCACTAACTGAAAAAAGAAGCACAAACTGTAAAATACATATTTTTATAAATATGTAATATTTTATATATATGCATATATGCGACAATTGAACTTCATTAAAATTAAGAAGTCCTGTTTATCAGACATACCAGTAAGAGAATAAAAAGGCAAACCCCAGATTGGGAGAAGATACTTGCAATAAATATTTCCAATGAAGGACTCATATCTAGTGCACATATAAAGAACTCTTTCAAATTACGAAGAAAAACACAGCCTACTTTTTTTTAATGGGGAAAACAACAGGCACTTCAGAAATGAGGAAATTCAAATGACCAATAAGCACATGAAAAAATATTCAACATCATTACTGATACAAGTTAAAAACCACATTGAAGGGGCGCCTGGGTGGCGCAGTCGGTTAAGCGTCCGACTTCAGCCAGGTCACGATCTCGCGGTCCGTGAGTTCGAGCCCCGCGTCGGGCTCTGGGCTGATGGCTCAGAGCCTGGAGCCTGTTTCCGATTCTGTGTCTCCCTCTCTCTCTGCCCCTCCCCCGTTCATGCTCTGTCTCTCTCTGTCCCAAAAATAAATAAACGTTGAAAAAAAAAAAAATTTAAAAAAAAAAAAAAAACCACATTGAGATGATACTTTATCATATCACTAAACCAGCTAAATTTAAAAGACTGGGACAATACCAAGTCAGTAAATTCTCCTACTTGCCAGTAGGAATGTAAATTTGTACGTCTGCTTTAGAAAACTGTTTGTTTGTAGCCCATAAAACTAAATATATGCCTACCTTAAGACCCACTGCAAAGTATATAGCCAAGGAAAATTAGTAAGTACGTCTGTCAAAAGATAGTTGCAAGAATGTTCATAGTAGCTTTATTCATAATGGCCCCAAATTGGAAACAATCCAAATCTTATCAGAAGGAGAAGGGATAAGCAAACTATGTATATTCACATGGTAAATATTGCATATCAATTTTTTAAAAAAATAAACTGATAACCCAAAAAACACTCCATTTCTTAAGCCTTAGATATTGTACTGACTGAAAGAATCTACAAAAGGGTACAAGATTATATACACATAAAAGGGGAATATGCTGTTTGATTCCATTTATATGAAGTTTAAGAACAGGCAGAGCTAATCTATGGTGATAGAACATCACCACAGTAGTTACCTCTAGGATTAGGGTTGGGTTGCCTAAGGGAATCTTTTTTATCTTAAGTTTATTTATTTATTTTGAGGGGGGGAGGGGCAGAGAGAGAAGGAGGGAGAAAGAATCCCAAACGAGGCTCCACACTGTCAGCACTATCACACGGGGCTTGAACTCACAAACTGCGAGATCATGACCTGAGCTGAAATCGAGATGGATGCTTAACCGACTGAGCCACCCAGGTGCCCCTTCCCAAGGGAATCTTTTGAGGTATTAGAAACATTCTAAATGTTTTATATCTTGAGATGAGTGCTGGTTACAGGGATATATATGCATATAAAAATTCATTGAACTGTACACTTAAGACTAGTATATATTACACTATGTATTTTTTATCGTAGTAAAAAGGTAAAAAAATAAATTTACATTTGTTACAGTGTAGATTTGACTGGTGTAATTAAAATAGGTAATTAGCCATTAGCTTTTATGGGATAACCTAAAAGAAGCTAAAAGACATATACTGTGAAAGTTTTATAACTCTCAGAAAATATTAATTCACTAACATTTAAAATTTTTTTTTTTTTTTTTTTGTCTTTTCAGCCCCTGACCTTTTTGAGCCTGGGAAATGCTTACCTTGCTCTGAAGAATATCAGTGGGGCACTTGAGGCCTTTAGACAGGCTTTGAAATTAACTACCAAATGCCCAGAATGTGAAAACAGCCTGAAGCTGATTCGCTGTATGCAGTTTTATCCTTTTCTGTACAACATCACCTCTTCTGTTTGCAGTGGTAAGCAGCTTATATTAAGTGCCGACAAAATGATGAACACAACCAGGGTTCCTATTCTGATCAGCAGAACACAAAATGATTTTCTCGGTTTTTCCCAAGGATTTTATGTAACTAGTATATTCTGTATACATAGGAAAGAAGTTAATTCATTCCTTACTATATAGAGCCTTGGGGTAATTCCCAGAACCCTAGATGAGAAAGGCCAGCTAAAGTATATTTGACTAAAATTGATAGACTTCTCTCCACAAAATCTATGATTTTTTTAATGATCGATATTAATGGTAAAGGGTACATTTTCTGTCCATAAAGACAATCTGCAATACAATTTAAGTGGTTTTTCTGTCTTCTTTCACTGAAATACACCCCCTTGCCTTCCAGTGAAAGTGATCCAGATCTTGACTGCACCTCTAAAGCAGTCACGTGACATTAATTGGTATCTTCTTGCATTCTTCCCCTTTCTCATACAGCCACCAAAATATATGCATGTGCGTAAGTGTGTCCACCTGGGTAATGGTTTGAGTTAATATCTGAACTACTGTAAATTCATTAGTTAGAACTCCCTAGGAGTTCGATTATGTTTACTTACTTATTTAACTTTGACTTCAAGAAAAAAGAGTTTGACTTGAATTATGAGGGGTGAGGTTTATATACATATGGATCCTCAGAACCTCACTGTTGTAGAACACACAGTGGGTGCTTTGTCAATGTGGAAATTAGATCATAATATTCAAGCAGAGGGCTATCAGTCCATCACCTTCACCTAAGGAAAAAAAAATCCCTAATGCTCACTTGGTTAAGTGATTTATCTAAAAGACATCAACAATATACCGGTAGATTTAGCACTTCAAACTGGTTTTCCAGATTCACCTGTACGAGACTGCCTTAGGATTTTAATGAAATGACAGGCAGTAAGTTGTATTTACATTTTTAAGTATCAGAAGCCAGTTTTTTTATTTTTATTTATTTATTTTTTAATCTGGTTGCTTTTTTATTTTATTTATTTATTTATTTATTTATTTATTTATTTATTTTTTAAATATATGAAATTTATTGTCAGATTGGTTTCCATACAACACCCAGTGCTCATCCCAAAAGGTGCCTCCTCACCACATGCACCCACCCTCCTCCTCCCTCCCACCCCCCATCCAGCCTGGTTCTCATTTTTTAAGAGTCTCTCATGCTTTGGCTCTCTCCCACTCCAACCTATCTTTTTAGAAGCCAGTTTTTTAGTGAAGAAACCAAAAATCCCGCAGCTCCGTAACTCCGTAGCTCAGCTGTGGCTCAGTACTGAGCACGGTGTAAACTGGAGTTCTTGCACGAAGGCTGAAGGCCTAAGACAGTGTTGACGGTGCAGCAGTGGAGGGACCCATGCCAGAGTCCTACAGATTCGTGTGTGAGCCCTAACTCTTCCATTACCATGTTTCTCATCCCAGCAAAGAAACTTGTGTCCTCATGTGTAAAATTAAAGGCAAGATCTGTCTCATAGACTTGTTGGTAGGAGTAAATAAGACCCTTATCACATAATAGGTGTTGGGTAAAAGTGAGCCATGAGAAATTCATAATAAATACAGAATATTGAGACCTTAATGGATCTTACGGGTCTTACTTAATCATAGAAAACATGTCGTGGACTTTTAAATTCCTTAGATTACTAACAACAGCCTTGTAAACAGAATTTCACTTTTTTCAGTGAGCTGCTTTTACTAATAGTCTCTCTCTCTCTCTCTCTCTTTTTTCCCCTGCTATCATCTCCCTCGCCTCTCTCGACTTCTTTGTTATCAGAAAGAAGAATTTTGTAGGTATATAGTGCCCCCTTTTCTAAAAAGCCTTTTCCTTAGTATTAGTTTTACATGCTTTTGCTTAGGATTTTAGTTTGTTGAAATTTATTATTATTTTATGTCACTCATGTCAAGAAAGGAAATTCCATTGTCTGGAGGTTTTTTCCCAGAGTATAACTTCAACTAGCCCAGGAAACTAATAACCTGAAACAAATCTACAAAGGTGTAGTATCATAGTATTTAGTAGTCCAGATATCCCGCAAATGTTACTAGATCCAATACAATAAAAGTTCTTTCAGAGAGAGCTCACTAATAAAAACATTTTTTTTTTTTTAGTTTAGCCCCTGTTACATTGTGATTAGTTATCTTAGAAGAGAATCTGCCATCTAGTAACACCTCCGTAAATAGTGGTACCCCTGATTAAATGTATGCTGTAGCATTTTCTAAGTTTAAAACCTCATGGATAATACTGACTTCATTCAGTATTGATTTTTTTTTTTGACAGTGTTTTTGCATTACTTGTTTCCACAGTAACAAGTAATGCTTTGCTGAGTTCCAGCTTTGAAAGGCTGAAACTTCATAGAAACAAATATCTCTTACAGATACCATGAATTTCTTATATTTGAAAACCCAAACAGTTTCTCCTCCTGTAACTATCTCTGAGCTTTACTAAATGGTTGATGAAAAATAGAGAAAAACCTCTGAATAATGATTAGCATTTCTGTACCTTCACATGATTGTCTACCTTTGGCTTTTTCTTTTTTGCAATATTGAAATAAGCTTCGTAAGTTCTCTTTACTTGTCTGCCATGTTATCTGAGATTTTTATTATGACGATATGAAGTTTTCAAGATACCAACAAAGCTTATGATTCTTTTTCCATATAATAATCAAGGAATTCATATTGGTTTTTATTAGAGAAGAACTTAAGCTGCCCTTCCCCACCCCTTCCCCAGCCTAAGTCATTCTCTTAGGAAGGTCTGTTTGAAAGCTACCATTTTTAAAAACTCTGAGATAAGCTTTTCAAGACCAAAAAATTGTTAAACTCTTAGAAAACCTATCTTAAATACTGTTTCTGCCCACTGTTATTCTTTGACAAATTATTTTCTTTACAAATACATATTGGTAACTATTTTTATAGCAGCTATAATATAGTATAATCTCTTGGGTAGTATGAACTTAATGGTAAAATTGTAGGCAGTGTGTTAACATGAGTAAGTATTTTATTGCTTTCAATATGTAATCATGGAATTTTTCACACAGATTTTCAGTTTATGTTTCTTGGTATGTCTGCACAGGTATTGTATTCTGGTACCTCTCAGTACCAATTAGTTCAGTTTAAAAAATACATAATCACTATGCTTACAAAAGTTTTCGACTTATGAAGGATACATCAGTGCTTAATTACTTATCTGACATTTTTCCCAAACTTTTATTAATCTGGAAATCATTTTATTGACTGCCGTGTATTAGGTGTGTATGTTCTTATATAGAAAGTGCTTGACATCATCTCTCTCTCTCTCTCTCTCTCTCTTTCACTCCCTCCTTTGAATAGCATTTAATAAATTCTTGTCTTTTGTAGGTAGTTTTATATTACCACCCCAATTTCAAGAATGCTGGGAAGGAAAACTTAATAGATTGCTTTATACGTTGTCGGCACTCGAGTTGACTGTTACAAGAGAAGCTAGTGCTTTCAGTTTTGATTAAGCCTTTATCTTGGCAGTTTTGAAATACATACTCTTGTACCATATTTTATTGGTTTTGTTATTTTACAATCTGATTTAAACATAGACCTGAGTAAGTAGAACTGAGTGTGCCGCTTCAGCAAGCCCATTCTTAAATAACAACATACTTGGCCCTTTTTAAAGTAAAATGGAATCTGTTAAATAAACTTCCAGTGCTTTTGAGTATAAGTAAGTTCTTTTCAGTGCTCAACATTAAACAAAAGGACTTTTCTTTTTAATTGGAAAAAATAAAGGTCTCACAAAGAATGAAACCTCATGAAGTAATAATGATTATCTTCTTTAAGGACCAAAAATGGAAAATAAGTTTCAATAACCATCTAAACAGAATAATTAAATATTAAATCTGAAGAGAAGTCCAGAAATACATGTAGTGGATTTTCCAAGCATTCATTGCTCCATAACATTTTCTAAATGCTATTTCCTTCAACTTCACTAATCTGCAAATCAAAAAGCTACATGTAGTGAAGATATTTTCTACTTAAGCAGTCTAGATTGTTTTATTATTATGTCTCTGATATGCATAGTTTTATTTTTAGTATATTTCATCCAGTATTATTTTACTTTTATTAGAAAACGTAAGACCAATTGTAGGTCATATTTATTAGACTTCATTTACATCAGATGCCTACAGTTATGCCACTGATAGTGGCATTGATATTTGCTGAATAAAATTAAACACCTAACCCAGGATTTCTCTGGTCTTGTCTTAATTCACTGAGACACATGTCCATTTAAAAATATTGACCACCCCCCCCCAAAAAAATATTGACCCAGATCTTTAGAAATGATGGGTAAACGTTATATGTAGAACTCAGACTTAACGTCTAGGTATGCTTAGAATTTTATGCATGTTTTTCTTTAATATGTATTTGAAAGCTTTCACCTACAGACAAAAATAATAAAAGAATTTCCAAATCATGTACATGAGCCTTAATATCTGTTGCAGTGTGCAGAAGGATTATCCATCATCACAGTGTTTCTGTATTTATAGTTATCTGTTTACCTAGATCATAGCTCCTTTCATAATTAGGGTCATTACCTGTGGTTTTAATCTGTGTTCTTCAACCTAAATTTCTGTAGATTTATAACTTGTAGCTTAAAGCAATCTTACCTGGAGTTCAGATTTTGAAGAAAAAGAAATCTTGGACTTTGCTGCCCTCCTGTGGACTATCCAGCATATGCTACCTGCAGTTAGGGACTTTTGTTTTATGACATTCTTCCTAAAAGTTAATGAAGATGTCGGCTTAAAAAAAAAAAAAAGATACATTCATAAAGATCCGTTTTTTCATAGCTTTTTGAATATGCTACTAGTTAGCTTCCCTCCATTTATTCCTGTAAGAAGAAATAAAACGTTGGTTAATTTACTACAGGTCTCGAAATCCTAAAATTTCAAGCATATTGTGCCACAGAGCCAAATGTAACTCTTGATAATGTAATCTGTCTAGATTTTGTATTTCTTTATTAAAAAGGGCTTTAGT